TTCGGTGAATACCGGGTCTTGATTGGCTGTTGGGTCCAGGTTTCCACCAATGAGAGCTCGGCTTGATAAATACTTACAGTAAATCAATCAAACTGACGGACACCGTATACTACATTGGCAACCGGCATTCGGTGAATACCGGGTCTTGATTGGCTGTTGGGTCCAGGTTTCCACCAATGAGAGCTCGGCTTGATACCGAACCGGCAAGCGGCCCGTCTTCTGGCCAATCGGTTTCGAGGTGGACTTCTCTGACGTGCGATACCTAACCACGGATGTCACAGCGGCATTAGAGCGGAATTCCGTATAACTGTAATATGCACGCTACGGAAGCACCAGGGGACAGTGATTCTCCGAAGGCAGGCATGCACGACAATTTCTGTGGATGGGAAGTAGAAACAAAGCTCATGAGCCAAAGCCCAGTAAACAAGGTTGTGCTCGTGCAAATAGCGGCCAGAACATCCATCAGCTGCTATGTCGGAGGCTCAGCACGAGGTGTTTGGTGAGTCCACTGAAAGTAAATCCCCGACTTCCAAATTACGTCAACAGTACGTCACCAATACATATAAATCAATCAAACTGACAGACACCATGTACTACAGTAACACTCTTCACTTGAAGTCTGTTGACGTAATTTGGAAGTCGGGGATTTACTTTCAGTGGACTCACCAAACACCTCGTGCTGAGCCTCCGACATAGCAGCTGATGGATGTTCTGGCCGCTATTTGCCCGAAGGAAGGAAACAGCGGTAGACGTGTCGAGAGAACTAAGGTTAGGTGAGCAAGGTTGAATTTCTATGGTTCTGTCCTCAATGTTGGCAAGTTTCGCCAACTGGACTTTGTCGGTATCTAGTGCAAGGACGGATTGTGTGTTGGCAAATGTTTAAGGAACAGTTGCTTGAATAGGGCATCGTCTATTTTCGGCCACCCAGTATGCAATATAGGCGTCACAACAATGGAGATGAAGTAGACCCATCGAGAGATTCTTCGCCAAGTATACTTAGCGGAACAACTATAGTTGTTCCAGCCGTTTATGTTCGGGTAAACTACAGCGTTTACTATTGGCGGTACTTAATGGAGTATACGGTTTGGTGCCGTCAGGGTCCAATGAAATAGCGCGTAAATCAGCCGCGATTTCGGGAAGGAGTACTGAAAACACATGCTCTTGCGTGATTCTGCGAAGGGCAAACTGAGCTTGAACCTGTGTGAACCAAATGCATGGGTGGTGGTGCCAGAATGGTGGATGATGTTGATGATGTGTATTGGTGTGACTGAAGATGGGGGAATATCATGTGCTGGCGGGACTAATATGATATAAGTGTCACATCGGGTTCGCCAGTGTATTAGTGCACAGTTTATGATAGCCATAATACAGTCCAGAATGTGTCCCTACTGTGGTTGGCAGTAGTTTACAGTAACGAGTTGCACCGCGTATAAAATAAATGCAATATGAAGTGTGAAACAAGTCAAAAGGGGAGCTTATCGTTTGTGAGAGTTCCTTGGTGAAAGTCCAGACGGCGGGAACGTCTCCTCAGAATAGCTGCTATGCGCGTTCAGAACTGTCTGTGGACTTGAGGCTTTTGGCTGACCCGTTGTACATGTGTGTGTTGACTATTTTGTGCGTTTTTACTTGGCCGTGTTCCCTCCTTATGTGTCGAATGGAACGTAAAACCAATAATGTGAAATCAGATTGAGCCCTTAGCGAGTTCACGGAACCTGTTGTTGCCCAAAGGTCGTGTTCATTGTCACGATGTTGACGCGTCTTTGTGAGGTAGTCAAATCAAAATAAGGATCGTGGGTGCAGGTCTGAAATTGCTTGGAGGAGTAAGTAAAATGAAGGATAATGGAACCCGTGTAGGGCGTCTGGCGCTGTATTCGGGACCCAACACTTCTGGCCTTCGCGGTTTCTCCACGATGGAGGTTGAACTATCCCTCCATTTATGTGTTTTGGCGACAAAATTGCTTTTTCTCTGGCCAGATAGTGTCATGCGGTGTTTGAACCTTCCTTCGGATCCGTGCATCTGCTGGTGGCACTCCATCAGGTGGGTTGAGGTTTGGCGTGTCTCAATATGCCAGCAGGAACCTTGGCGAAATCCCTTCCAACGGTTCTTCCCCTCTGGACTTCGGAAGTGCACGCTTCAGTGTCAACAAAGCGCTCCGCCTGGATGTTCAACTGAAGATGCAACGGCGGCCAACGTATATGAGTTGTGCCATACTCCCGACAAACCTCTGAGGATGGCAATGACGAGAACTGATTGCCGATGTGGGATACGATGGCCCCTTGTCTTCCAAAGCGACTGAGCAGCCGTCGGAGTTCCAGGACTTTGTTGGCAGTTTTAGGGCTTTTCAGTGGAAGTATTTCCGGCCACACGCTATGAGCGTTAACGACGACCAAATGGGGTTGGCCATCCACTGTACCTATGTAATCGTTGTCCAGACGAGACCAGGGTTCGGCTGGTTGGGTAGGTTCTCAGGGGTGAGCTGAGTGCTTCACCAAACCACAGGCAAGATTTGGAGAATTGGCCAATCCAAGAATCGAAGGACAGTAAACGTGGCTGCGAGTAAGGGCCCTCATCCTGTTTGTTCCCGGATTCCATTTATGAAATTGATCCCGGACGACTGGTTATAACACCTTTGGAATGACAGCGGGTTCTGAAAATGAAAGGCGTTCATCGTCTGGTGGTAGTGCGTCACGCCGGTCGAAATAGGTTCTCAGTTCGTCTTTTGAGCGGTTCGTGGCCACTGATTGCGGTGCTATTTAATGATTTGCTGCAGCACAGGGTCTCGGTCGGTAGCCTGGCGGAACATATCGGCAGTCACTGGGAGGATGCGAATCGCTTCGGATACTATGTGATTGACCTCGGTTTTCAGCGCAGTCGTTGCGACTACGGTATCTTCTGGTTCCGGCCTACTTGAATCAATTAGTCGTGACAGTGCGTCGGCTTGTCCGAGGATGGTGGTGGACTGGTGCTTTATCTTGAAGTCATATTCCAGAAGCAGAGTGGCCCATTGCTGGAGGCGGCTGGCAATATATGCCGGGATTTCTTTCTTCGAGCCAGACAGCAAGGAGTGGCTTGTAATCGGTCAGTAGAGTGAGCTGACGGCCATAGAGCATTTTATGTATCTTTTTGACGGCAAACACGGTCGCCAAAGATTTCTTTTCTATCTGATTGCAGTGGCGCTCGGGTGATGTCAGGGATCTGGCCGCATGTGCAATGGCTTTCTGACTGCTATCGGGAAATACATGTGAAATCACTGCGCCAGTTCCATAATTCGAGGCATCCGACGTCACGACGATTTCCAGAAGTGGATCGTAGTGGGTGAGTAGCAAATCGGAACTCAGGATGGATTTGACGGAGACAAAGTCGCATTGGCATTCTCCTGACCATATCCACTTGTGGTCTTTGGTAAGTGGCTGGTTTAATGGAGCTCGGAGACTATGCATCGCAGGCTGAAACGAACTGTAGTGACTGACGAGACTGAGGAATGGACTCCCTGTCTATGGGTGCTGGCATACGTTTGATAAATTCGGTGTTTTTCGGGTCTGATCGGCAGCTATGTTGGTCAATGATGAAACCGAGGCACTTTATCAACCGCCTGAAGGAGGTGCACTCCGAAGCCATATTCTTGAGTATGACCAGGCATGTAATCAAGACGCTGCCACAATTCGTGGGATTTTGAATCCATGATAATGAGGTCGTCCAAATAGGCAGCATCGCCGGAGGCATCCCTCAGCATCGTATCCATGATCTGTTAAAATATGGCTTGTGCTGTTTTGACACCGAATGGCACAGGAGCATAATGGAACAGAACGCGATTGCCTACCGATCGTCAGAAGTTCTCGGAATTCTTCCCCAACATCAACCTGGAGGTAAGCATCGGCCAAGCCAATCTTCGCGAAACATTTACCCCCATTCAGTTTCGCGAGCAAATCTTCTGGAAGAGGCAGAGGGTATTGATGGGTATCCAGTGCAGCATTGAGAAGCATCCAGAAGCATTACGGTCAGTGTTCGGTCGGTTTCACATGCGGCTTACCAATTCGTTTCCACGTTCGTCCACTGAGCAGCGTGATGTCGGAGCCGTATCAAGCTGCAAACAAATTGGGATGCTGTTGATACGAACCGTTGCGGACTTTGGTTAGCAAAATCGACTTTGAATGTCGCCCTCACCGAGTTGGACCGCGATTTGTGGGGTGCACGGTGGTATGGATGGCTTCCGCCTCTGAGATCGACAAAAGTCATGTGACCACGGCGACTGCGCCTAGAACATTTATGACGCCCAAACCGGGAACAACGAGCGAAATACCGCTCACCGCAGTGCCAGAAATACGTGGGAGGCTTGCTCCGTTTTCGATCAGACTTGTGGTCAGATTTCTCAGACGCGCTGGAGTTGTACACAGCTGCTTGAAGCCACAGGTGACTGTTAAGGCTCACAGTGACTAGCTCCGAAGAGGTTCATACCCGGTATCGCTCAGAGATTGTTGTTGGTTAGTTCGCGTCTCCAAGTCAGCCTCTGCGGACTGGCCTCACCCCGATCGCACCATCAAACCGATCGTTGTGGGAGGAAAGTCTCCTCATGGTAAATTTTTGAAACACTGACGGTTTCGTTTGTTTGTTTGCTTGGTGGCTTCTTGTTATGCTGGAATGCTGTATTGTATTTTTGTTCATTTCAGCTACAAACAATGCATTTTGTCCCCTCACCTGACACACGGGCATGGTTTGTCGCCTCTGAATAATCTTTTGATCTGTATTCGATTTAATAGATCGATGAGCGTTTGATCGCAGAATTGGAGCTACTTAAGACCGATGTGAGTCCTAGTCCACAGGTTTTGATGATCATATACATGGTAGCTCACCGTCATCTCACGAAAGCTTGAGAGCAAGTCCCAAGCAGTTATAATTCTACATGAGGCTCTTGAAAAGTGTGAGAAAGAGCGAGATGAATTTAAGCGCATGGCAGAACAGGTAACGCCACTCGGAATCAGCTTATCATCGGGCCACTATTCAGGTGATGGGTCGTTATCAGTTACTCCGGAAGACTATTTGCCAAGACACACCCGCAGAAGTACATTCTGTCAAAGGAATCGGTCACTTGGACCGTAGGCAGGTTAGCAATACAAATTTGGTTACATAATCCTTGCTTCCAGCTTGCTTCATTGTTGGTTGAAAGTCACGAAGCCAACAAAGGGTTGCAGCAGGAACTGGTGGAAATGAAGGTCAAACTGAGTGAGGCCCTGGGAGACATTAAATTACTACGCAAACAGTTGAAATCGCCTGTCCTTGGGCCTCCTATTACTCAAAAGACAGAATTAGATGAGAAGGAGAAATGGGTGCTACAAATGGAAAAGTTAACGGAGCGTGTGAGTTCTGTTATGAATTTTCAGCCGCTTTCCGATTAAATTCTACCTAAGTTTGATAGATCTTGTGGTTTTAATTGAGATTTCACACTGAAAGTGGTCAATGTACGCAGAAAGCCATAGAAGCACTAAACAGTCCTTTTATTCATATTTGTAGGCATGTTGAAGAAACAACCGACGGCAAAATTTGAGCTGTGCTTCCGATGTACAACAGTTTTGTACAAGGCAACCGTACCATTGTTGTGGTTGGTTTAGGAAGACTGTCCAGTATAAACAGCTCCCTCACATCACTCCACAAGGGCTGTGGTTTAGGAAGGAAACAACCAAGAGAGAGAAGTCTACTTCTCTGGGATAATTTTTCGTGGGTCGTTGACTACTGACGTCTAAAAAGTAAACCACCTCGGAGGGTAGTGCAGTGTAACTGTAGGCTATAATAACCTTCATAACTTCGTCACTTCACGAGCTTGAAGTTGCATCGTTGGCATACTAGGCAACTGATTCCAGTCCAAGGGCACTCACCCCTGAGGCAGCACTTGATACGTAACCGATTCCGGTGACAGTTATGTTGCCGCTTAAAAATAGTTCAGCTGCAGCACCCTTTCGGTGCCTAGGCGCCATGCCACACGCCTAGTTGGACTACCTAGCTACGGTTTGTCGGTCTTTTCTCCTAAGCTTGCGTAGTTGTTCGATTTGTATTGAACGCTCAGACTGAATGATGACTAGGCAAAAGTATCTGGTCGGCGGAAGTGTGTGCTCACTATCTTTGCCTCGTGAGTGCGCAACCAGTGAGTCTATCCCATCTCTGTTTTGTTTAGAGAACCAGAGCCTAATTTCAGTCCTGAGTGTCATGCCAGAGGCTAATGTGCTGCGTTCATTCTCTTACATGAGTGTGTGGTACTACCTAAGAGTGTCGCCTTACGTAGGTACTTATATCGTTCTAGAATTCGGTCACAATCCTAACAATCGGTTGCCACAGTGTCTCTGCTGTATCATCGCTACTTTTGGAATAAATATTTCCCCGGTTTTTGAGTTTCATCGAAGTACGAACCATCAGAGTTCTGACAAACATCTTTATATTGGCTAGCATTCCACTGATTCGTTGGTCTCTCTAGGTGAATGAATTAGAACGGGAGCTGGCTCGGTGTTGCGATGACAAACAGGAACTGGTCACCGAACGAGATATCTACCGTAACAAATGTGATCGCCTGAATAACGAACTGAACTACATCCTGAATGGTGATGATCGTAAAATTGTGGACATTGATACGCTTATTATGGAGAAAAGGTAAATATCTGTTGACAATGTGTGTGGGGATTCCATTCACTCTTCATTCTTCTGAGATACCCTCTTCTCTATGCCTACCTTGGGACTACATTGAATAAGATTAATCTATATGTAACACACTACCCATAAGATTGCTGAAAACCCTTCGACAGACCATCATACTCGAGAGGTCCAGATTGTCAAAAACCAAACTCGTGTATCAGTGGTAGCACTTGTCCAAGATAACTCTGTTTTCATGAAAGGCATTTCACTCTTGCTGGTCTCCATCACTACCCAGTCTGTTTTCTTATCAATTGTGTCTTGTTTCTAGCAGGGTGCCTTTATATGAAGAAACCACTCAGCGCATTGTTTGTGATTTTCGGGTCTGATCTTCAAATAAAATCTCGGAACAAATCAGCTTTATCGTAGATTATTAACACTATGCGACTACCAGGACTGAAATATCAGCGGGTTACTGCAGCTTAGTCCCATCCGTTTTTTGGAAAGTGCCGCTCTTTTGTTACCGGTAATACAGACTGGGCTTTTAGCGGTCTCTTATGACAATCTAATGAGGTTACATTGGTTCACTTCTTACCAACCCCTGAGGTATATGCAAGGTACGAATCAATGCATATTTCTAATTTGTCTGTTTACTTGGTTTTCCAGTTCATTAATCATTTACTTAATACATTGCCCGAATAAGACCATTTGGATAGGGAGTCTTTCCTACTAGTAGCATTCTGGGGTAGGGACAAACCAAGGACGCTGGACATCAAGTGCAAGGCGGGAGTCATGGTGACCTACAGTCGAAGACACACTTGTACGTTATTTTTTCGGGGTAATTTCTGGAACGGTGTCGCTTCGCGAGTGTTTTGCTTAACAGAAAACGTGTAGCTGGCTCGAAGGAGGTTAAACAGCTCGAGAGTGTTTCCTCTTTAACCCAAGAAGCACATTCGATTAGTTAAGAACTTGCACATCGGTAGCTCTGTAGGTACGCACAGGCAATTAAGTTAGTTAACGCTATTATTATTCAGTTGGCACGTATGACGATTTTGATAACTGTAACACACTCCTTCTACGCGTAAAAATTCTAGATTACTGAATTCTCGTCTCCGAGCTCTCGAAGAGGAGAAGAGACTAGCAATGGCGACCTTGACCAAATACCAAGTACGTTTTTTAACCATTCTGTCCATTATATGTATTATATTTTTTAACCGAGTGATTCATTTCGAATAGACATCTAATCATAGTACTCTCTTGGTTGACTGGAATTGTGCTGATCGACCATTTTGGAGGGTTTTCTTGGGACCACATATTTTCCTGAATGACGATGAAGTTTAGATGCGTTCCTTAGCCTTCAGATTTCAGTTCCCCATACAACTGGTTTCATTTCTACCTTAACTGCCATCAGTAGCTTTGAGAACAGCCGTTGTAAGACATTCGTTTTCCCCATTTGGGAATAAACTTTTGCATGCTCCTGACCAGTCCATTTTCAGAGGTATTTCGGCGAAACGTGGTAAGTCACCACCAGAGTACCAACTTCACTGTTCATTCAACTGCAACTTCCACGAAATCATATTGCGTGAGTGTAATCCAACTTTTTGAGATTTAGTCCAATATGACTTACAGGATAAGACGCGAACTACCGACCAGCAGATCAGTGGTTAGAATCCGTCTGACTGGCGGCAGATAGTGTGGCTGTAACCAATGCAGATTGTGTTGGCCTTCTCAATTTGACTCACTACTTAGGTGAATCTGGCTAACTTCGCTGACTTGGAACCAGGTTCTTTGTGAATCACAACCCGGTACCTCCTAAATGAGGCCTGCTACTTTTCTCTTATCTCAGTTCAGATTTCAAATAATAATACGGCGAAGCAATTCTTTAACCTGGGTGACATCTATATCCTGAGGACAAACAAGCGGTGCCTTTTATCTTCGAAACACTTTTCATTCCCCTTTACTCAGCTTATCGCTTAATGGTGTCATTCACTTACGATTTCCGTTTTCAAGCGAATGATGGAACGAAAGACCTCAAAAACATCGTCCGTCGGCAGCGATTGCCCTTTCACCCCATGCGAATCGCCAAACCACCAGAGTGAGTGCCATCCCCTGATTTCGCTTACACCTTTTTTCCATTACTATAATATTTTTGTCTTATAAGGTTATCTCTATGAATACTTCTTAACAGAACAGTGAGATTTCTGCTTAAAGTCCAATTTCTGAAGGGCGCACCACTTCAAATCACCAAAGAACTATAAGTTGCGTCCTGTGAGGCGACCGGAATGTCCGTGGTTCGAACCCGACCTCTACCTCTCGACTTCCTTTGTCTAGGCTTAGGCAACCTGGCAGTAGCCCAGCCCTCGTTCTTCCTCCGGGTAGCATGGCAGTTAGACACCGAAAGGGCGTTACAGCTGAGCAATTTTTCAAAAATTTTTTGTGAAGGGCATTTATCCCATGGTTATGAAATAGTATCTTAATGACGGCTTGTTTTTGCCCTGTAATCCTTGGCTCCTCACTCATCAGGCAAAACCGGCAGTGTGCCTTGTTTCACCGCCAGTGGCCAACTAGTTGGACAATTGCGTTCTATGTTTGGCCGCTACATATGTCTCCGTAATCGTGCGCCGAGATACAGCGGGCAGAAACAGTATAGCTTTGGTAGTGGTTAATGACTTGGGAAGCAGAACCACTCTGGCAGGTGTCCATCCGTAGCGAGAGTGAAATTCATATCAGCAAACATCCAACCGTTGAGGATAGCAAATGTCACTCATTAGTAGCTAAGTTGTTCGACTAAAGGGAGAGGCACTCAATGCGTCAACAGTATTTACAAGCTTCTCCCACTAAATTTAGGAGAGTTGCACACCGGCAGTTGACAGTTGCTATCCCAACGGTTTACCGATCAGTCAGTATGCCTAAAGAATGCGTGACATGAAGTAAACCACTCACAAGGTTGCTAAAAACTCTTCGGCGGCCCACGACTGATTTTGCCCTTCTCAGGCCTCATCATGAACCTTATTAGAAATAGGATACCCAGTGAGTTTGATTAGGCGACAACTAAGGAAGATATTGGCTCCAGTATCTAGACCCAGTAAGGACTGGATTGGTACAGCAGTCATTCCATATAAAGCAGGAACATCGGAGGTTATTCGAAGATTGTTGAACTTAGCCAACATTCGAGTAGCTTTTCAGAAGGGAAAAACACTACGCTCAGTTTTGGTGAAATTGAAAGATCTCCTGCCGGCTGAAAGGACTAGGGACTGTGTGTACAAAATTGACTGCAACGATTGCGCTAAGTTTTATATAGGACAAACTGCCAGGGAATTGCACGGCCCACGACTGATTTTGCCCTTCTCAGGCCTCATCATGAACCTTATTAGAAATAGGATACCCAGTGAGTTTGATTAGGCGACAACTAAGGAAGATATTGGCTCCAGTATCTAGACCCAGTAAGGACTGGATTGGTACAGCAGTCATTCCATATAAAGCAGGAACATCGGAGGTTATTCGAAGATTGTTGAACTTAGCCAACATTCGAGTAGCTTTTCAGAAGGGAAAAACACTACGCTCAGTTTTGGTGAAATTGAAAGATCTCCTGCCGGCTGAAAGGACTAGGGACTGTGTGTACAAAATTGACTGCAACGATTGCGCTAAGTTTTATATAGGACAAACTGCCAGGGAATTGCACACCAGAATTGGTGAGCATAAAAGAAGGATTAACAAGCCACCAAAGAATGCAGAAGAATACCAAACGCTGGTCAAAGACTCAGCGATGGCGGTACATGCCTTAGACACGGGACATAGAATAGATCTGGAGAATGTGGAAGTCTTAAGACGGGGACTGCGATTCACACCACAACGGCTGATAGCCGAGGCGGTGGAAATCACTAAGCATCACAGCGTGAATAGAATCGAGGGTGTGGAGCTAGCGAGCGTATGGAAAGCGGTCTTAGATAAGCCGAGTTGACACGTGACGGTGTGGTTGTCAATCCACTTAGGATCATTAGAAAAAACCGGGGGGTAGGGGTGGAAACCCCAACCGACCAAAGGTCACAGCATCCCTCCTACACAACTTTCTTAGCACTAGCTCACCCACACAGACTAACAGAAGGTTCAAACGAAGTTCAAGAGGAACCATCAAATGAACCGAACCAGAAGAACTAGACCCTAGGCAGGACCCAAACACATGTAGGTTTCCCCACCGACCCAACACTTGTTCAACCACTCTAACACACCAAAATCCATCGGCCGACACCCAACAGAGATTTAGATTGACTTAGCTGATTGGTTCTCCTTCCGCCTTAAATCTCGATCAACCCCGGAACCTAGTCACTTGGCCTGACGAAGCTTTTGTGTCAAAAGCGAAACGTTGCCCAGCAATAAATCTACCGATTGTCACCAAACTTTTCCGAAAACCTTATTAGTAGTTTCCTTTATGAAAATATACTGCGATATTTCGAATATCGTGCTAACGACCAGCCTTTGCGCAGCACATTCAGTTAAAGAATACCATACACGAGAGATTCAGTTGAGTCTCTGGTGAAAACCAGATTGATTTGTAAATGAGTGTAATTGTGGAAATGAGTGACATAAAGGTTTTTGTATGCTAGAAAAAGCCGTCGAGCGAAACAACACGATAGTTATCTGGTTGTACGCGATGTCGAAAACAGAAAAGCAGTACTCCTTGCACCAATTCAGAGAGTCGTTCAACTGCTGGTAGATGATCAGACAGGTTGGTGGGAGTGGTCATCGATCCTCACGGACGACCTAATAGTTACCGAGCCATGGGATTGAGATTCTTGTGGGTGTTTAGTCTGTATTTTACCACAATTGAGCTGCATGGTAAGTATAGTATCACTTGCATTCACCGATCCTCACGCGAAATTGTCTTCAGGTTCACCCTTTGTTTAGCTAGACATCGCGTGCACTTAATCTTGCATCCTTAATACCGTCTTTCTGTCGAGAAAGAAGACGTTGGGTTGTGTAATTTAACCGGACAACTGCATCGGTCTCAGAATTTCCTTTCCTAGGGTGTTTTCTGAACGTTTTTTCACTTCTGCGTACCATGGGTTGGTAGAGTTTCAGCGAATTTAGGGTTTCCGTGAGTACTTTTGGTTTACGATAGCACCACAAATCGGCATACAATCCCACGTCAGCGGATTGCGCTAAACCCATCATCGGCATCCTTGTTTGCGTCAGTTGTCTGGATATTTGTCATAGTCGGCATGGTCCTAACGGCACTTCTCAATCCTTCGCCAAATACGCGATAATTTGATTTGACCAATTTCATCTTCAAACCGGAATGTGCTTCCTACATGTTTATTGGTTCACTCAGAACAGCAAATTTCACTGTCGGAAGCATGGTTTTCTAGAAATTCAAGAGAATAAGATACTTTAACACCGTTTCGTACACTGCAATTCAGTTAGGTGCTGTGCATCCGCTTGCATAAATTAAGTGCCGCCAAACTGGAACGACAGAGCGTAGACTTACCCAACTAGTGAATGAACGCACAAAAATACGGCGGCACAGTTTGAGCATTCTTCAAAACAATGGTCAACCTCATTCGTGCAGTCACGCGCATAAAATCCCCAGGAGATTTCATTTAGCGCTCGAAGTTCCTACGGTTGGCGTTATCTCATTGTCATCGTCATCAATCATTGACAGCACAATCATTACAGATGATCCACTAATGCTCTACTAATTTATTTGGTAACCTCGCTAGGAAAGCGTGTGAAAGGGAAGGGTCCTAGTTGTTGGTGGTTAGATAACGGTTAATCTGTTCGCCGGGCCGGGAGGTCTGTCTGCAAATGTTTCAAGGAGACGTCAGTGCGCATCTGGGTGGCCAGTTCCTATCGCGTAGTTTTATGGTTTTAAAGAGAGTCTTATGTCTTTGGCCTAATTGGTTGTCCGAAAACAACTCATGATCCTATTGGTTTGTTCGCGACCTCTTTTGCACCGTGGGTGTTCACTAAGGTGCCACCCTTTTGTTCATCCTTTCCTCGACCTGATCGACCCGCTTGTGATTTGGTGTTGCGCTATGGTCCTCCTTCCTGGCTGGCCATCTGGTCCATTCTAATGGTTCCCATTCTCTAATCTGAAGGCCCACTAACAGTTCGCAGTGTTTCCTCACGCCTGTTTGTTTGACTTTCACAATTCATGTGTTCTCTTGTACCGCTTGTTGGCTTATTTGGTTCTTTGTCTTGCTTGTCCTTGTCCACCTCGTTGTTGGGAATAGAACCTTCCAGTCCAACCAGTTTGCTCCTTGATTTCCTTTGGTTCCTCATATGGCTCAGAACATGATGCTTCTGAAGCTATTTTACCACCAGATGTTAGTGGACAGGGTTAATCTCGATTTCCCGATTATTTGCTTCACCGGTAGGGTACCATGACTCCGTGAATTCGAGTTCCTTATTTGTCATTGCTTGACCCAATAGGTTGACATTGTTTCAGTGTACAGACGTGAGTGAGAATTGATGTCCCGTAGGAGGTTTGTTCGTTGATTCTGACCAATAGTTTCCCTCTCGTTTGTGCCACCAGTGTTTATCACACTCTTTGTATTGAATCCCGTAGTTCTACCTGGTTTCCCTTTCGGCTTTGACAGTGTTTGTTCGAAGTGTTTCCCCAGATTTTTAGGCCACTGTCATACCATGTTGTCGTAGTATTCTCGCGGTCATTTCAGAAACGTTTTTGATGACTGCACGTCCGATAGCATGAGCTTGCACTTTGTTAGTGTAAGGCGCACGAAGACGAAACAGATGTTGCCTGTGCTTTCCAGGGGGGTATTATAGAACGCTAATTTTGAAGATCTTCCAGCTTTTGGCTAGTTACCTTGTCGACCACAAGACTAAGTAAAAATAGGGAAAGCGGTCGAACACCACTTTTCGTAGGACAGCTTTTGGAGAGCAGACTGGGTCGTGTATACGCATGTCAAAAACGAAGCAAGGCGTCTACCTTTGCGTTTTCGCCTATCCGTCCTGCAATGTGCAGCAGGCAAGCCGACTCGACTAATGGCGCTACGAAATGGTCGGCACAACTGTGAACCTACAGCACGAACCCCAAATACACCGAGTTCGTTTTTCTCCATACTGAACTCTTTGCAGTTAACATATCGATATTGCCTGTTCGAATGATACTGTACTACCTGGCACGTCTCTGATTTTATCTGTAATTTTCACGTACACAGCATCTGAACCCAATTCCGAGGCAATTCCAGTAGCTGCGATCGCCGATCCAGTTGGGAAGCATGAAAATCCGGATTTCGTGCCCGACCGGTCAAAAGAATATTGATCCTTTTCTCCACCTGGATAACCTTATGAGCATTTATGGGTGATCAGCCTATGCCCCTTGTGATAGAGACACGTGCATTTTTTCATTCTCCGTATGTTGTCATGACACCTTGTACTTTAGTTTGAGTTTCATGTTTAGTGTTTCGTAACTTTTACCAAGTGCACATATACACTCACTACTTTTTTCGGCATAAACAGGCTACTTAACGTCACGCCTCAGTGAGGCGGGGACTAATGGTATGACTTGTTGCCGAACGGTCAAGTCCATTTATGTATGGATCGAGGTGGGTGGGTTTGTGTGGAAAAAGGGCATAGGTGAACGTCTACCGGAAAGTGCGTCGTCGGGACAGGTCACCCGACTGGTTTGGTTAACTTCTCCTTCATCGCTGTTTCAGTTCAGTCGTTCGACATCGCTGATTGGACTACAGTTCACTGCACCGAAAAAATGAACAGGTAGGAATAAAAATGCACTAAAAGCGCTGACTTCATCACTTAAGCGATCTTAAACTGTTTTGGTCGTCCGATGAACTAAAATCGGTGACCAATGCACTGAAGTTGATGGTTTGGATGCAGGAGGATCATTTATTACCTGGTAACTGACCCATGTATTAGTATCATCACAAATCGGTGTGTCGCATCTCGGGGCCCCTGTCCAGAGAGGCAGCAGTTACCGATTCGAGTTTAGTGTGTGTTGCACTCATATTTCTTTTCTAGGTTCATTTTCTGGTCGTTTCCGTCCTCCAACACGGTCTAGCTAACACAACTCCGGGGTGTGATTACGTTGCGGGTGGTGAGTTTTGGCTTATTACAACCGAGCATTCAATCAAACGTTCGACGGATAGCAGAAAAAGATCGATCAGAGGTCTTAATTGAGGCGTGGTTTGATGAACCACAGCGGTCGCGTAAACCGGTGATTCTAGACCCAGCGCACTAAAATGATCAACAGCAGCAGCGTGAACGGATAGGAGCTAGGACTTTGAGCTGAAGAAATGAGAAATGAAGTGACGAAAGCGCATGTTTCGCTGATAGATCGAGTGGGTGACTCATGAAAAATGTAGTAAACTTAACCGAAGCAAGTGTCGTTAGCGCTCTGCTATGACACAATACCTCACTACTGCGTTATTAGCAACGAACAATGCGTTTAACAAGTCACCATTGGGATTTGTAACATTACGAAACACTACCCATCGCTAGAACTAGTAAAAAGTGCAACTGATCGGTGGAGATCCATGAAATCCCCGGTGGTTTCTTAACCGTAAAGTAAACGTCTGATTGAAAGGGAATGGACAAAATGACATGTTTACCGCACTTCTGGGGCTATCCATCAACTAAATGCTTGATCCAAAGTAGATGTGGATTTAAAAACACCTTAAACGAGATTCAGCTGGGTTCCAGGTGAGTCTTCCGCAAAACCAAATCTGTTTGCAAATGAGTGTATTTCGCTAGATGTGGACTTGCTCAAAAAGTAGATGTTATGGGTTTTTGAGGTAGTCATTTATTTCGGCGTGATTCACCCACATGAAGCACATTAGCAGAAAATGAAAAAAACGTCCTGATATACTGAATTCAGCCTTCAAGTGCAAGCGGTCTTCAAAAAATGAACGATGTGTTCACGACAGTAGACAGATGTACAAAATGTACGTTAGTACTGATTCCTGTCGATTCGTTTGCAAGCCGTAGGGCGACAAAATCACATATAACTGAAAGACAGGTCAGCATTAATTACTGACAGCGGCGTCCCAGCACCTTAGGACTACTTTGCGCGTAGGTTTAACGAGTCAGCGTCGTCTGACTTCTGATTCTCGCGGGCATTAATCAGTATCCGGAGTCTTCGTGATGACGTCTCGAGTTTGGTCCGTAGGTTAGCCAGATTGATGGAAAGATGAATGGATCGTCGAAAAGACGCTTGAGCTCGCCGTAAACTAGCTGGGACCAATACTCCAGCGAACCAGCGAATGGGGTCGGCCGTGGGATCCATATGAACCCCATCTACAAGTAGATCATCCACCACTTGAAATTGTGGTATTGCTTTGGAAGTCGTTTCGTCTCCGTCACCGCTAGCCTCCTGTGTGAAATAACGAATAAAGGGGGACCAAAAAGTAACTTGTCAAGACAGAACACGGACATGCACGTAGACGAACAGGTGGAGTTTGCGTACGTAAGCACACCAAACGACGGAATGGTACGGCCCCGTACAGCTTTCACAACGGTAACTCCAGCACAATCATAACTAACTGAAAGATTCTTCACGCTTCCAGTTTCCTTTATGAATTCCATGAGGGCTATTTCTTGCTTTCATGCAATAACTAAAAGGCTCGAAAACACTTCCTACGAAATTTCAGGAGGTACACAACAAAGAACGGGGAGATTACGACAGACTTTAGTTTTTCTCCTTTTTACTACAGTGGTTATGGTGGCACCGTCACATCCTGTTGTATGTAGGGTTGCGTCATAAGTTTCCCCATTGGGTCTTCCGATATATCACCTCACCGGCATTCGACACTGTAATTCGCTCTTCCGGTCACACCGACCATATGCGTTAGTGCGGCT